GTAACGAAAAGATCTCCGTCCACGTCACCGTCCGTGGCCCCAAGGTACGAACTTGATTTTCCGTTGGCAGTAATTGCACACGACCAAAAGACGATTGCCTAACCATTGAACAGGCCGAGGAAATTCTCGAGCGTGGCCTCAAGGTCAAGGAGTACGAGCTCCGCAAGCGCAACTTCTCTGAGACCGGCAACTTCGGCTTCGGTATCAGCGAACACATCGATCTTGGTATCAAGTACGACCCCTCCATCGGTATCTACGGCATGGACTTCTACTGCTGCATGACTCGTCCCGGTGAGCGTGTTACTCGCCGCCGCCGCATGAAGTCTCGCATCGGTGCCAGCCACCGTATCAAGCGTGATGAGACCGTCAAGTGGTTCAAGCAGCGCTTCGAGGGCATTGTCCGGTAAATGGACTATTTTGTTTGTCTTTGAGGGATGGTTATGGCGAATGTTTAGGGGAAAAAGGGTTACACGGTCATGTATTTCCTGCTTTGCATCAGCTCGAACCGAAATCGAGTCGAGCTACGGCCTCAGAGACCGACCGGCGCCCATGCCGGCTTCCGTACAAATCTATCTTGAATGTGATGCACGTCAACTACAACTCCGCCAGCAGCCATTCGCGCTGGCAGAGGTAGTTTCTTTCCACCATATGACTCGCCTCAATTGACATTCGCAAGTGCCTTGAGATATTGTTGGCTTATCAATGATTGAGGAGATTTACACTCCAATGGCCCGCGCTCTCATACCATGGACTTAATCCACCCTCACCTTGTGCCTGTCTATAGCCCTCAGCGGCCATGATCTGTGCTGAGCCTCGACGAGAGGAAACAAATGCGAGAAATCACTCAACCAATTGGTATGCACATCGGGGCAACCAAAATGGTAGCTCTACTTGACACGGCAAGCAACGAGACATCGAGGTGCACCTCAGCCCTGCAGCACGTTATACTTAGTATTTTCGTTCTTGTTTCAATTAATAAATACGCACAGAACAGGAGCATGATATAGGACCTGGGCGGCGATTCGGTAACATGCCTTTGTGTCACCCACTTGGTGCCAAGCTGGAAGGTCAGCTGAACCCCAGTTACCCCAGCTCAGACGCCTCTATGCATTCTGACGCTGTGATGGGCGGCTGGCACGCTCGGTCGGCAATGCGACATGTTACGTCGCAGACCCCTCACAGATAGCCATGGCAAGGTGAAGGGGCAAATTGATCCAATTGATCTCTCTCCACTGAGCTACCACCCTGCGAATCGAACTCTCTACCCCAAGACCCGAAGTCGGTAGGAATCAATCGCTCAACCGCTCGCTACTACCTTTGCCTTGCGCAAGGCCGGTGGTGATGCCTGAGGTTGCTGTCCATGTTTAACCCGGTAGACCGTAGCTGATATTGGCTGTGGACCTTGAGGTATTAGCGCCACGCTGTGCTCTGTACCCGGCCTGAGGCACTGAAGGCCACAGCCGTACTAACACTCATAGCGGAGGCCTTACCAAGGTAACAGGGTGGAAAATTGTTAGCCCCAGGCCAAGACGATTCGGGATTTCCAGGGCAAAACCGCTCACTCGGGGAGTGATTGGTTGGTCGGGAGATCGGCTCCACTATTCTCCCTCAGAGTTCTGTTCAGTTCCTCCGTTCCAACACTCGCTCCTGTAAAATCTCCCGAATTGCTTTCTGCAAAGGCAACAGTCCACGCCTCAATCTCCCCTCCCCCAATTGCACCTCGCTGCAATTGTTCTCCTTTCGTCTCCTACCCTCAGATACCTCCTCTAATATGTTCCGAAACGCTGTTCGCCAGTCCACCCGCGCCATCGGCGCCGTCTCTGCTGCTGGCAGGGTCGCTGCGGTAAGTCTTTGCACTCCCATTGCTCCGACGACCTGGGGATCTTCAACGCCATCGAAACACCACTCCGTATCATCATGCACGCACCCGAAAGACATTCTGGAGGACCAATTGCACAATTGATTCAGTTTTTTGAGCTTTTTTGAGCTGTTTGGAGGCCTGGGTCGTTGCGAGGAACCCCATCGTGGATCTGAGGTTGGATCTCGGCTAACTGTAATTTTCACCTCATAGGTCCGAAATGCCGCACCAGCTGTCGTCAACGGTGCTCGCTTCTACGCCGCCGACGCCAAGGCTTCCCCGACCGAGGTTTCTTCCATCCTTGAGCAGCGCATTCGAGGTGTCCAGGAGGAGTCTGGCCTTGCTGAGACTGGCCGCGTCCTTTCCGTCGGGTATGTGGAGCTCTGAGAAGATTACTGCCACCAGTTCCGGCAACGGCGTCGCGAATGCATCTGCCTCGACCGTGATGCATTGGCTCGCATAATCCTCATAAATGACGTGTGGGATTGCAATACTAACTGTAGTGTCTAGTGACGGTATCGCCCGTGTCCATGGCTTGGCCAATGTCCAGGCTGAGGAGCTGGTCGAGTATGTTTGCCCTTTCCCTTAAGCTGACCTTGATCCATCTGAGCATAATTTCTAACATGGCATAGGTTCGCCTCTGGTGTCAAGGGAATGTGCATGAACCTCGAGGCCGGCCAGGTCGGTATTGTGTTGTTCGGTTCCGATCGTCTTGTCAAGGAGGGTGAGACCGTCCGCCGTACTGGTGAAATTGTGAGTTGCACCAACACGACAAGCATCAAGGCTCGGATTAACTCATTGACAAATTCTAGGTGGATGTCCCTGTCGGTGCTGAGATGCTTGGCCGTGTCGTCGATGCTCTCGGTAACCCCATCGACGGCAAGGGTCCCATCAAGACCACCGAGAAGCGCCGTGCTCAGCTCAAGGCCCCCGGTATCCTGCCCCGCCAGTCCGTCAACCAGCCCGTGCAGACCGGTCTCAAGTCTGTCGACGCCATGGTTCCCATCGGCCGTGGTCAGCGTGAGCTGATCATTGGTGACCGTCAGACCGGCAAGACTGCTGTCGCTCTCGACACCATCCTCAACCAGAAGCGATGGAACAGCACCTCTGACGAGGAGAAGAAGCTCTACTGCATCTACGTCGCTGTTGGTCAGAAGCGATCCACCGTCGCTCAGCTCGTCAAGACCCTCGAGGAGAACAACGCAATGCAGTACAGCATCGTCGTAGCAGCCACTGCTTCGGAGGCCGCTCCTCTTCAGTACCTCGCTCCCTTCACTGGAGCCTCCATTGGTAAGTCCCATCTAGAATCAACCCTGTTGTAAACGTTCTTATCTAATCCCCGAGAAATTAGGTGAGTGGTTCCGTGACAATGGAAAGCACGCTCTCGTGATCTACGACGATCTTTCCAAGCAAGCCGTCGCCTACCGCCAGATGTCTCTGCTGCTCCGTCGTCCCCCTGGTCGTGAGGCCTACCCCGGTGATGTTTTCTACCTTCACTCTCGTCTTCTCGAGCGTGCTGCCAAGCTCAACAAGACCCACGGTGGCGGTTCCTTGACTGCCCTCCCCGTCATTGAGACCCAGGGTGGTGATGTGTCTGCTTACATTCCTACCAACGTTATTTCCATCACCGACGGCCAGATCTTCTTGGAGTCCGAGCTGTTCTACAAGGGTATCCGACCTGCCATCAACGTCGGTCTTTCCGTCTCTCGTGTCGGTTCCGCTGCCCAGCTCAAGGCCATGAAGCAGGTTGCTGGTTCTCTTAAGCTTTTCTTGGCCCAGTACCGTGAGGTCGCTGCTTTCGCCCAGTTCGGTTCTGATCTTGATGCCGCCACCAAGCAGACCCTGAACCGTGGTGAGCGTGTAAGTTACTTAAATTGTACACTTAACTTAACCAGAGAACCAAGTATCGCTGACCCATATTAGTTGACCGAGCTTCTCAAGCAGAAGCAGTACTCCCCCATGGCTGTCAACGAGATGGTTCCCCTGATCTTTGCCGGTGTCCGCGGTCTCCTCGACAGCGTTCCTGTCGACAAGATCCTCACCTGGGAGGCCGACTTCCTCGCTCACCTCAAGACCAACGAGACTGAGCTGCTCGCTACCATCGATAAGGAGGGTGCTCTCAGCAAGGACCTCGAGGCCAAGCTCGAGAGTATCATCAATAGCTTCACCAAGAGCTTCCTCGGTTAAGGAGGTTATCATTCTGCCAGGTAGCATAGGTGTAACTTAGCGGGGGATACACGTAGATGATACTGGTGGCTGTACCATAAAGAAGTATTAAAGTCGTCCATATCCTTTCTAGGGCCGGAGTGAGAGAGCTTAAAATTCAACTGATGTTCATTTGTCTCTATACTTGACTGATTCTTTTGACGTGCTCAATTCTCAATGTGATGTTCTGAAGTTCTTTGATGCAAAAGAAAGGGGGTGTTACTAAATCGTTGGTGCACTTACTACATTTTAGAAATATACGGTTTTGATTGATGGCTGGCCCTACCATGTTGCATACCTCCATTACGGCTACAGCTACGGCTACGGCTGGATACTGAAATAGAAAATCAATTGTAGTAGCAGCAGAGAGACAGGTCAGGTCTGCAGCTAGCGCTTATCACAGCAGCAGACAGCTAGGTCGGCTACATAGCGATCGCTCGTCGTCAGGAGAGACACGCTGGTCAGCTATTGCTTATCATAAAGAAAGACAGAAGAGTCAGTTAGGTGGGCTATAGTGGTAATCTAGGAAGGCAGCTAGCTGCCCTTCTAATTGGAAAGGAAGGCATCACAGAGAGGGCACAGGAGGAAGAGGGTACCAAGTCAGAGTCTTCCAAGCAACACGAGGTTCAAGAGGCAAGGGGATCAGACTCAGAAGGACCTTGATAAAATTGAGCAGGGCCTAGAGGTCATCCACGCGTGTTATTTAACCCTAAGGACTCGACACCTCACTGAGTACTGTTTATATATGATGCACGGGGTTGCATGGAACGTGATTCACATTGCCTACTGCCTAATTTACCAACTCAGCCTTGCAGCTTCTCAACGCACCCAAACTGACCAACTTCATGGGCTGGCATATGCTTAAATAGCCCATGTTGTACGTCATCCACGCCAGTGTGACTGTTGTAGGCGGCCGTCCTTGTCATAGGTTGCCTTATTATTCGGTTGTCGTTGAGTCGGTGTTCATGTTGTCAGCTGCGTCCAGTCCGCGACATCTTCGTTTGGATGTCTCCTCGTTTCTTCCAGACTCAGCACTCTTGTTGCTGTCGTGATCCTAAATGATTTAGTTTAAACATTAGCCATGCGTTATCCAGGCCCGCCATCCAAATAACGTACATTGAATTTGCGAGCCTTCTTGGGCTCGGCTGCTCCCTCCTCCTTCTTGGGCTCGAGCTCGGCTGCTCCCTCCTCCTTCTTGGGCTCGAGCCCGGTTGCTCCCTCCTCCTTCTTGGACGAGCGCTCCGCATGGTGATGTTCCGCCCCCTCGCCCGTCGGGAGGGACCTTGCGGCCCGTCGCCTCTCCATCGCCCATTCATGGAATTCACATAGTTGTTCAAAGGATTCGAAACCCCACTGCTCCCAAAGTGGCTTCTTGTTAGGCATTGTTGCGGGTTGTGATTGTGTGTCAATAGGCGTAGAGTTCAATGGTGAAGGAGTAGAAAGGATGCGGATGTGCAATGTAGGTGGTCAAGTGGAAGTTTCTCGACACCAAGAGACAAGAAATGCCAGGCCCTCACCCTCATTCGCGTATCCTCAGGCTGTCCTCAGGTTATCCTCACCTTCTCGCACATCTCCTTAGGTTATCCTCACATTCCCGCACATATTCTCACATTACCCTTTGGCCTCTTGCAACATCTTCACAAAACTTCCACCGTCGCATACTCGACTCGAGGATGGGCCCCCTTCTCGTCTAGCATCTACATTGATCATACTCGTCAATTTTCCATTCGTTACTCTGACTTTATCTCACCATATCTGCCTGGATAACATATCTGCCTCTTCTTTGTTCTTTCTCACTTCTCCTTGGGCGACATAGCCTCCACCGCTTTACTTAGCCCGGACAATGGGCTCAGGTTGGCGACCGAGCGACTGACATAAAACATGGCACACCTAGACCCTCCAGCGTTGAATTTCGACACAATATCAAAGTGATCAACCTAGTAATAAACACAATATTAAGCCAAATATCGTGGCATGGAGACTAACCAACAAGCAATCTTAAGAAAGGACGCGTCGATACAGAAAGCGGCCGAACAGATAGACGTGGATAGGTCGAGAGAAGAACAACAAAGCTCCCTGATCCCAAGTCCGGGATCACTCGAAGATCTTTTTACTATCCATAAAACGCCCAAAGATGATGTTCTGACGGATGCGACTGGTTACCTTATAGACAGGTTTCGGCAATGGAAAATACTCGAAGCCAGCCTCCCTGTCCCTCACAAGGACCAGGCTCTATACTCGCTAATCGATTTCATTCTGAGCCAAGAAAGCGATACATTAATTGTAAGTACACACGCTCCATCAGACCCCCTCCACCACCTCCCAGGTCTTAACATGCATATGTGCACTGCAGACAAAGCTGGACTCCATCACCAGCGGCAAAGGAGAAGATGTTGAGAAGCTTGGTCTAAAGACCATTCCACTTCAACATCAAAGCGTCGGCACATTCAAGCTGCTCGAGATGTTCAAGTCGGCCGGATTTGTGACCCGATCGGGATGGGCAAGTCATTCGCATCCCTCAACGCTGCCCTGCTCAGGCGGGCACAACTACTGGCAGACTGTGGGCCAGTATTGGTCATCTGCCCAACAAGCTGCGTGGACCAATGGTCCTCTGAGGTTCAGAAACACTTCAACGAGGTGAGATTTGCAGTTTTCCTGGAAGAAGACGTACTATTCTAACTATAAATATAGGAAACACGACCTCGGTGCATGGCCCTCCACCAGAAAGAAACTAGTCCTAAAGACATTGTGAAAATGGATATCGTCATCGAAAGTCATGGCTTCGTGAGGCAACGGTTCACCGAGGCCACGGAGTACATTGCATGGTTCAAGCTCAAGGACTTCGTACCTCAACGGGACATCGACTCAGATGGACATTCGCATCCGAGGTAAAAAGGGCATGGTTCCATACGATCTTTCTTTGGGGCCAGCCATCCAAATCATCAATGGAGTTCCGTGGCAAGTGGGTGCCAGAAAACCAGGGACTGCAAAGTCACCTCGACAGAATTATTGTGGCAGTCAGTCACATAATAATGCTTCATGCTGTGTGATAATACACAATATTGTCCAGCAATTATTCCGACAATTATTATTATTGTAGACTATTGTCTATCAATGTCGTGGCCTGTATTAGAAGGATGAGATGGAAACACCTTTACAGTCCCCGCTACTCTAACGCAACACTTACATCAATAAATGAGGACGAGGGAACCGACAGATCTGCCATGACTAAGACGAGGATTGCAAGACGTATGGCCGACTGGAGGATAGGCAAGGATGTAGCATAAACGCGAATGAATACACCCAAGCATTCGAAGCATTGGTGATGAAGTGCCACGCGACGAACGTACTCCTACACGCCAAAAACGGCGACCTGGGCGCTACCAGGGACACCTTCACAAAGGTCGAAATCATGGAAAAAATCATACGAAAGACGGGCAAGGATGTGGTGATTCCTTGGCCAAGCATCGGCATAATAATGGTCGCGAGGATTTTCAGACTCATGCCGGGAGGAAACAGGGACAAGCCAAGTGCTGGGGAGACATCAGATGCAAGGAGAAGCCGGCTGCCAAAACAAGGCTCTAGCCAGGCAAGAAATGGACGCTTGAGCTAGCCCTCTTCGATATTGACTGGAGGTTTGCCAGGGCTGGATTCGCAGCAGATGGGATGGGAAGTTTTCCACCAAATCATCCTCTCAAGACCAGATACTCGAATGAGGTCAGATGGGTGCAATACTTATTTGCAGACCCATCAGTGGCTAGATCCGCAGCGAATGACAAGGGTCCCGCGCAAAGCGAGGTTGGCGAACTCTCCCGCCTCAAAACCCAACGCAAGAATCTCCATGTGGCATGCCTGAATGGAGACATGGCCAGTCATAGGGGGCCAACCACGCAGTTACAAGGCATGTCTACCAGATCCCGATCTGGTCTTTGCCTCAAAGTTCGTTGATCCTTTCGGATCCTTCGATGGCGTTGTTGCAGGCCGCCGGTTGCAGCCACTTTATGGAATTAGACTATGGCACAACAGAGGCACAGGGTCTACCGGCTCCAGATCAGAATCAATCACTACTCTGGGCCACGACTGGCGGGAATCAAGACGACACCAACCTGGTGCAGTCGCACGGCGACATCCAAGAGGGATTTCAGTACGCTGACGACCAAAATGATGGAGATTATGACCCATTTCACGGGGACGTTAGCTTGGTCCCAGAGGTTGATGACCTCGGGGACGGCGCCATAAACACACATTACAGCATCGAATCGGCAGCCAGGAATGATATGGCGATGACCTCGGGGACGGCGACGTCGACCCGTCGGATTCATCATCGTCCTCGCCCAGGAAGCGGAAGACGCGCTCCGACCCCTCTTTCACTACACAGTGGAAGAGGGGCTTACAGAACGCTGATTCCAGTGACGTCTTCTCCCCTCGAGTTACGGCCATCATGACTACTCTTAAAGAGATCGCAACCGACTACCCCGGAGAGGGCATCGTAGTGATGTCGGCATCTCTCCTGCTCCTCGATGTCGTTGGCGAGGCCTTGACTCGCAAGGCCCTTGAAGAGGATATCTTCAAATTCCCAATTAAGGAGTACAACGGGACACAGGCTGTTCGAGACAGGACGAGCATCATTAAAACTTTCAACGACAGCACGGGCACCAGAGTGCTGCTTGCCACCGCTCTGATATAGTAAAAGGCGAGATTGCCGAATTCAAAAACAGGCAGCCATATCTACCCCTCAAGTGGCTGTCAGAATAACAGGGACTGCAAAGCTGCACCATTCTGGACACCCGGCGAAGAAGAACAGGCAACGGGGCGAGTTCATCGGATCCCACAGCAGAGTACAGTGCATATATGGGCGCTTCGATCAGAACAGTCTGACATCGACAAGTGGATGTCTGCCAAGTTGGATGATAAGACTCGAATTAACTCCAACCTGTATGGAGCCGTGGTCCGGTCCGACCAACAGCTAGCGGTGATGCCTCAAAAGCCATCACGAGAGCAGGTCCTACGCGATCTAAAAAAGAAGGCCACATGAGAAGCACGTGGACAGTAGACAGGCGTCGCATACATTAGCGGAGGGACTATATTTGCTACATCACAGCGAGGCTTTTCACGAATAGAATACGGACAGAATGAGCTAATGGGGACCATTGCTATCCTCAATGACCAGTCTTGTTCATCATTCGCATGAGGTCACCATTATTGCTAAGCCGTCGTCATCCTCATCGTCGTCCTCGTCGTCGTCCTAATCTTCGTCCTCGTCGTCATATTCATCGCCGTCCTCGTCGTCAAATCCATCATCGTCCTGAAGATCATCCTTGTTGCTATGATTCCATAATTCCCTTATCATCTCAGTCGTGGGTTCTCGCTCGGCTCGCAGCATATTTAGAACACGCTGGACCTTCCCTCCGTCTTTCAGAGAGAGCCTCTGAGCGATATGATCGATGATATCGCCGGCATCCATTGGGTCAAATGTGGTGCTCAACTTCTCTAGAAGCTCGGTACGGTTGCCGGACGTCAGCTTCGTGATAACAATGGCATCATTAACCACCCTATCTATCTTTGCAGACCTCTCGCCGATGTGTTGACAAAAATAGCCAATAAAGACCCTGTAATCATCATAGTGCACGACATATTGGCCAAGTGCCCCTTCATAGATAGCAGCTGAGAGTGCGAATAGATAGGTGTGGTGAAACAAAATCTCCTTTGGGGGTTTCCAGAGTTCCTATAGAATCACGAGCAATGTTAGTTTCGATCCTATATAATGCCCGGGTCGTAGAAAGTCCACATACTATACAGGCAGCAGATGCTGCCTCTGCATCTTTAAGGGTAAACTGAATTTCCATGTCGAATATTTTGTTAATCACAGCTAGGAGCTGCATTTTGCGCAGCTCGGTATCGCTGAGCTGCGAGTTGCGCGAGTTGTGTATGTGCTTTCTTATGGCCCTTAGATGTACGATGTCATTAGTCGCGCGAGAAGTTTCGGTTGACGATGAAGAAGAGTCGAGTTCTTCGTCGTTATGACGGGCATGGCGATGACTATCGATGAGAGTTCCCTTGATTTGTTCTTTGAACTCAGTGATGCTTCTCTTCCACATCATTTTCCTGGTGATTTTCCTGGTCGTTTGAGTCCTGGATATCCCTTGTGAAAACTCGGGATAGAAGAAGATCTGGTTATCCAACCTGTTTGAAGGAAGGGGTGCCAGCTGAGCGAGGTTGTCAACCTTGTTGACGAGGATTGACAAGACACAGCGGGCGTCAAAGATTCTTGCCACAACTTTATGGGTAAACTCTTGCGTGGCCACTATGCCGTTCCCACTTGGTGCTGTAATGAGCAGTTCGCCAACAACAACTGCAACCTCTTTCGAGGTTGCATTCGTGATGTCGCGTTCGGCTTCGCTGAACGTGACACCCGCCCCAGTCCCATCTGGTACTGCAGAGAAGTTCTTTGCCTCTTTGCTATCGGCCTTTGCCTGTCGGAACCTAACGACGGCATTGGGCTGGCGTGTGTGTTCCGCCTCGCCCATGTCATATCGAACCAGCCGTGAATTTACGGCAGTTCTGTCCTGGATGGCATCCATCCTTGGTGGTTGCTTTCCGAGTTTGGTGGGATTGAGAAGCGGTTTAAGCGGCGAGATGTATGTGACGAAGTTTTGGAAGAGTAGAAGAGGCTAGAAGAGGTGCGACTCAAGGTAAATAAATTCAAGAGCGCGCAGCGTGTAGTGAAGGCTGTCTGTGTAGCTACGCTTTCAAGTACCTGTGTTTTCTCGGGTTTCGGGCATGTGTCGAAGTCACTGACAGCGACCGTCCACACCTGTCTACATCTACCAAAAGACTGAACTTGTTTATGACCTTTTTATGGGTTGCCTGGCCAGGCACTTTGAACAACACACTGGAGGTACATACCTCTCCTCACACCGTCCTCTCTACCTGGGTATGTGCCTAGTTGACATTCTGTCCCCTCCTCGGTACCAAAGGAAGCATCTCCAGGCCTGTCAACCTTGGCTCCTACACATAACATCCTCAAGGCCTACGCCAGTATTTTTATTCGACATAAAACGCAGACCGGAGAGTCAAGGACTGACTGCTAGCACACCGCCATCGCAACCCGTGGTGTTAGGAGTTTGCGGTGGCTCGCCACATGGGCGGATATTCGATAAGGGATATCAGAGCAAAACTCTTTATAAATAACATCAGCTTAATTTCATTCTAAATGTTTTGCCCGATTATCTCAAAACTCTGGATTGTTGGGCTTTCTGCTCTTATTATAAGCTACCTTGCTTTCATTTTTCTCTATATCTGGTAGATTTAGAGTTAACCTTAAACTTTTTAACTTAATTGATGCTTCTCTCTCTCGCTTCTTTTGGTCCGTTGCCAATCTGGCCTTTTACCATAGCTTGAACCGTGAAATCTGCTAGCTTCCTGAAATGTTCCGCTGCGACCTCCTTGGATGGCAGAAACTCTTCCAGTTTATTGAGCTTCCCAGTCACATCTCCGAACTTTTCCTTCAGATTCAATATAAGATCTTTATTAAATCTTGTAGATTCCGATTTCAGGCGGTAAAGGGCAAGTGGGCGGCAGAACAACAGGGACTGCAAAGGTGTTTGAATCCCAACTTTCTAATTTCGACCACGATCTTGACAGAAGATGGTAGGTACCTAGTGAATAATATTAATACCAAACTATTGAGTAATTATTGAGCCATATTATCTGCTTACTATTACACAATAGGAAGCATTATTATGGTACTGACTGCCACAATAATTCTGTCGAGGTGACTTTGCAGTCCTCGCAAAATGCCCGGAACTCGAAGTATTGGGCCTCCGTGAGATGGTTTATGGAGGTGTTTTGGGCCATCCCCTTGGCCGTTAGGTACTGCGCAAACATGATGGCCGTTGTTGGCGGTAGTTGTGTTGGCAACCCTCTGGGGCAGTTGGGAGCGTGGACGGTTAGGGGGCATGCCGCATGCTGTTGAGCCCTCATTAGCTTTTGGAACGCCCGAGTCTTGAGCAACTCGGCGCTTCGTGTGCGCTCCAGGTTGGCCGCCCGTGAAAGGAGTCTCTTGCTGGAGGCGACAAGTTCACGGATGGTCTCTAGTTGTGCCCAGCAACCGACGAAGTCGACATGTACGGTGTGTCGCACCATTGGTGGCAGGTCGATGGTGCTTTTAGGCCGTGCAATTGTTGTAGCCGCAAGCAAGATCTTCATAAATACATTCACAGGCGAGTTTGGATCATCCACGGCTGTCTGGGGGACATCGCGGAATCCCCTTTTCATGCCCACGAAAGCTTGTCCGCCGGGTAACAATGCGATTTGACCACATACGTCTGTCCATGTGTTATGGAGGGGGGTACCGGAGAAGAGCACTGCACGGTTGATGAGGGAATCGAGCCTTTTGGCGTGGTGCGATTCGTCAACAATGATGACGGGGAATCGTTTATTCGCTCTCTCATACCGGAGTGGTAGTGAAGGAGAAGGAAAATAAAATTCAGTTCAAGCAGCCGTGGGGAGGAATTTATATCCGTATGTACGATGTGTTATTGTTTTATTATTATGTTGTGTTATTGTGCGATTGCTATTGTCTTATTGTTTTTCGAAGTTTCTAGCATGTTCGCCCAACCAAGCGACCAACAATATTTGAATTATTGCATTTTTAATAGTGATGAAAATTGGCCATGGCTGGCCCTATCATGTTGTGTACTAATTTCTGAATTTATGGCTTGAACCACAAAGGTGGTCATTGATCATGAGGAACCGAGTCTCCTATGTTGCTAGAAGGGGCAGGCTGTTTTATTTTTCCCCACTTTGTTATTTAATAGCAAGTTTCTTTTCGCGGTTATCCTAATAACAACGGATCTCTGGTGACTGAATGACGGCAACTCAGTGATAGTCTTCCCTTGCAGTATCGGTCGACCAAGCAGGATCGAGCCCCGGTAGTCAATGGAAACAACAACGCCCTTACAGTATACGTCATATGGATTTGGCCACTGGCTTCCGGCGAGGCATTAGTATTAGAACCAGACTGCAAGACTTGCAAGAGTTGACCCTGGTGTCAAATGGGGTCGTGCACCTCAATTAAAGTCCAATCGCGCACGTGATATCGCGCTCCTTCTCGCGAGCCCCGATACGCGTCAGTGATTTCCCAAGGCGGTCTTATCGCCCTTATCACCATTGCCTACATAATCTTAACGACCAAACTATTCAAACTTCACCACCCTACCTGTCAGTTTACTGTTCGTCTCATTTTTCAATTACTTGTTTGGTCCGTTGTCGGAACGAGGCAGCTCAGCATGCCGTTGGGAGTCGAGCGGCTGAATGTGAGGAAATCGCAGCCCAACGACCACATTGTATTCATAAAGCCGTTAAAAGGGTCGGACGACAGCCGTGCACAGGAATTCCTGGAGCGCATAGCAGCACAATGCCGTGGGTAGCCGTTCATTTCGCAGACTCACCACTGCTCCGGCCTTTACTCGGGATGCTGGCTAACGACACCATCTCCCAGTGCCGGTCATGCGAGACCACCATATCTACGTGATGTCCCTTGAGGAATTCCCACCCAACCGGGAGTTCGTTGGCCGCAACTTCAATGCGGGCGAGGTCATACAGCTCGTGTTGAAATCGCCGACGTCAGGCAGGTGGCTGCCATTCGAGTACGTGCAGATGGTGATGATGCACGAGCTGGCACACTGCAAGCAGATGAACCACTCACGTGCTTTCTGGTCGGTGCGAAATGGCTACGCTGCTGAGATGCGGGCCCTTTGGGGGAAGGGATACACTGGCGATGGGGTGTGGGGCCGCGGAGCGAAGCTGGGGACTGGAGAGTGGGAGAGGGACACGGTGCAGCCAGGAGAGGTGCTGCCCGAGCACCTCTGCGGGGGCACCTTTCGATCTAGAAAGCGGAGGTCCAAAAACGCCAAACCGGTATTAAGCTATCAGGAACGAAAGCAGAGGAGGATCGAGAAGAAGTTTGGGAAGAACGGCGTGGCTCTTGGTGAAGACGTGGAAGTCAAGGTGAAGCTGGAGAAGGGGAAGAAGGTCCAGGGGAAACCTCGAGTGGCAGGAAGTGCAAGGGGCAGGGAGCTTCGGGCGGCTGCCGCCCTCGCACGTTTCGAGCAGAAGCGAGAAGAGCCAATTGTCATCAAGAAGGATGAAGATGAGACTGAATCAGGGAGCGACACCGAGGACGATCAGGAAGACATGCACACCTCTGGCACAACGCCCGCCGTTGATGTGGATGGTAAGCCGCTTGTCGACGGCAAGGGTAGGGGTATGGTGAAGGTGTGTGGAGACGAGGACAAAGACGACCCTGGGGCAGAGACCGAGTTCCAGGAGCTTCGGGACGTGTTCATGGGCCGTAAGATTAAGCAGGAAAGCCCCGAGCCACCGTCCATTTCCAGCTCGAGTGTGGAACATCCAGAGAAGGAGAAGAAAGACCCCCCGTCCAATCCGGTAAAGATTGAGCAACGAACCACAACCTCGAGGGAAGTTTTTGGGGGCGACACACACGTACTAGGTGCGGACGGCAACGACGCTGATACAACACACCAAATGGGGGAGACGCATGTGGTGTGCTTGACGTGTTCCTATACCAACCCGCCTCGTCGCCTCACGTGCGAAATATGTGCCAACGTCATTGATCCAGCCGCCATCCCGAACTCTTGGCGATGCTCTAGCGAGCTGTGCAAAGATGGTGCCTACCGAAACTCTGGGGATTGCGGGGTTTGTGGGGTCTGCGGACTCAGAAGACCAGATCAAACATGAGGAAAGAGACGATTGTGCCAGGGCGAAACTGTGGCCGTGTCAAGCGGAGAGTTATACAATATCTGTAAAAGCGTCTTGCATGGCAGAAACTCCCCGTACTTAGGATGTTATTTCACAACTCGCATTGGAGGAGGGCCCGTTGCTGTACCAAGTAATTACCCTCTGTTGTATGCAACTCTGAGAGAACAGTGCTTGAATGGTACCACAGCATCGCATCGCCCCAAGGCTCAATGGCTCGAAAGTTTGTGTTCGTTTCTACTCCGCCAGCGCCATCCAACAAGTGCCATCGCACGAGTAGAGCGAGTCGTGTGACTGTGATCTTGCACAGATTCATATGTGCCCGTGTGTCAGGCAAGGGGTCTAGACCTTGCAATTTGGATAAGGGAGGGGCAGATCGCACAATGCCAAGCCATGCCGAGGCAGTGTGCGCGCGGCACCTTGCGTTGGGATGCCATCAGCTCTGGCAAATTGGGATGAGCTTATTGGGTGGTGAGGTGCTCGAGGGCAGATCGTAAGACCATGGCTGCCCCGTGGAAACGTGAGATGCGGGGTTGGGAATTAGGATAGGCATGGCATATTTTTAGCGTACTACATTCCCATCCTGGATAATGGGGAGAAGTAAGTGCTGGACGAGCGATGGCTGCACCGGTTTTCTCAGCTGCCTGACTACTGGCTGGGATTGCTTGGTTCTCTGGTCAACAACACATTTGGGTGTGGTGCCCGATCATCTCGTAATGAAAAAATGGGAGCTCTGTTCCTTGACCGGTTCCCATCATGTCAGTGCTTTGTCAATCTGGCTTGGTTACCCTCGCTGCGTGATAGGGAGGGTGAGATTGGACTATGGTCTGCCAACAAAAGCAACCATGGCTACGACTAGGGTTGTAGCGAAGCGAAGGGATGCCAAGAATGACAGTTTGGAATGGAAACCGGGGATAGCAAAAGTTCGACCACAGTGTGCTAGAGCAAGGGGTGAGGAGGTGGATTGTAGCAGGAGTGACATCGATAACGGATTGAAACGACACCAAGGAGAAAAGTAGGCTGATTAGGGTTGTTTTTGATGCACAAGTGGCCCTAGAACCCATAGCACAGCAGCATGAAATTAGGTACGCGCCAGCTTGCTGCTACTGCAGGGTGCTACGTAAAATGCGAGCTGCGTCGTAGGCGGCTGCCCATCGCGACGCGATTGGAAGCTAGTTGGGTCGCCAAAGTGTGGATGATGGACGAAGATGACGCCGGAGGGCGCACTTGCAATCATGGTTTACTCGTCCCGTTAACCCCGACAATGGACTGAAGTTTGATAACATGAGCCAGCTCGTTTAGGCATGGGGGTGTAGATACCCCGCAAAACCGATGTCACATTCATCGAATCCCTCGAGCACTAGCAGTGAGTTCTATGAATATAGTGCCGACTGATTGGCCTCCAGGGTGGAGATTGATGACTCCGGGAGAGTTCCCCCGAGTTAGTGAATAGGCAAAGCTCGAAACTGAGGAGAGGCAAGGAGTGATTGGGCGCTCAGCCAGTTGGGCGAAACCCCGTCAGCGCTCTAGTTCGGTTGCCAGTCCCTGGCCTGCCCATGTCTATCTGCAGATGTGTTATGAGATGTGCATACAGGAGCATGGGGTGGTGGGATATAGGTTGCCACATTGGCCTTTGCGAAGCTGCAGGAATGCAGCCCTTACCTTGACCCAGTCCCGATCCGATTCCAGCACACAGAGAGAACACTCTGACTTCTTCGCCTGGACTGGGAAGCATCTCTCCTCCTTTGAGTCGCAGGCTGATTCATTACGCAGAAATGGGGAGACAATGCAACACCTTGTCTGCATCAAAGAGGTCGATAGCATACCCTGTGTGAGAGGGGAAAGGCGGCTAGTTCCTCCTGTCGCGAGTCACGGTCTTATCCATTGCTGGAGCATGTGAAATCGAACCTATTTTGATTCTGGCTAAACCTGGGGCCATGTTTTACTGGGTCAGGCACCGAGCCAGGCGCAGGCTTAGGGGATCACCGCCGTAGACAATGACCTGACCTGCCCTGCAATGGAAGTGCGAGTGTGGGCGCGAAAAGAGGAAATCACGATCTGCTGAAGGCGGTGACTCTGGTCGCCCCTTCCCCTCGCACTGATTCACCTCCGCTAGGTACCGCCCAAGCAGGTGCTGCTGAGAGGTTCTGGCACAAAGAAGGTCTGAGGTACCGTGCCACTGAATTACGCTGCACTGCGGGTGTGCCCCACAGCTAATCGATCCCGGCATCGGCTCGACGTCACCACCCTCCCTGCATCCCCCTCACACATGCACCAGCCTTTAGCTTTCAGTGGCTCCATCCCCACTTCGCTAGGCAGGTTCCTAAAGCTTCATGGAGCTTCCAGCTGTCACCGCGACTTGACCAGGCAAGGAGGAGCAATGGCCCAAAGCTTCCTTCTCCTTTCGTCGTCCACGGCCTTTAGGGGGACGAGAGAGGGGGTTACGTACCTACACCATAAATTGGTAACAGCGTAGTTGCGAGTGGCGATCTGGTGTCACTGCCAGACAGATCGCCAGAACTACATACTCTCTGCCTTCTGTTAACATGCGATCGGCGAATTCCCCGTCACAGCCTACGTACGGACGCACTCATCTGGGAATGTTTGGGCCAGACCATCCCTGTGGCGGACTTCTCGGATCTCAGCATCACTCCACTTTTGTGTGGCCGGCGCCGTTGCTTTCAGGGTCCCCCAAACCGCTGGGGTCAATCCGTGCTTGCCGCCCTGCCTGCCCACTAAAAAGCAGGCGCGGGCCAGCCAAGCTCCTGCTTCTGGCTCTCCGCCCCGTCCTCGGTCTACAACTCTACTGACTTTCTTGCCATCTGGCACCACTTTCCACGAGTCTAGACAACACCACCTGGCCCCAGATACTCGACCATTGGAAGCGTGCCCTCTCCTGCTGCGTTGCCGCCGGAACGCCAGCCCTCGTCTTGTCTGTCCGTGCTCGCTACTGGTGGGCGCGTTGGTCCTCTGCTCCATCCCGCACCACACCTGGTATCGCCATCCGCATCCGCACCATAGAATACATGTCAATCTTATACAACGACTTCAACACCGATCTCGCAATTGCCAACTCCTTTGTCGTTGATTCGTGGCTTTCTGCCACCACTTCCTCTGGCTGCTGCGTGTCTGCCGCACTGCAGTAGTCTTCAGCTCCCACCCCCGACCGCGCGCGCATCCTGCATGCACCCTTTCATATCTTGCATTCATACCAAGCGCAACCACACCTACTCTTTCACCAACTAGGATTACTCAGTCACCACTATAAAGCCACCTCCCCACACGTGCCTTACTAGTCCAATCCCCTCTACCTCAAGCTGCGCTACCCCAGCTTTATTCATCTTTCTCTCTTCTCCTCTCTTCTCCTCTCTTCTTCTCTTTCTTTCCTCTCTGCTTCAATCATAATTTGAAATCTTTCCATCGACGCCGTGCTCTTATTCAACCTACGAATCTAAATCGCAAACCCGACTGCTCATCTTCAATCACCGACATCAATCCAATCCCAATTCTACCTATACTGCCGGTTCCATTTTGTCAACATCCTCGCAGTCATGTCGACCGATGGCTCTTTCCCAGGGCCTTCCGGCTCTGGCGATGCGAATCCACGAAACCGCCGCGGCTCAATTACACAAGCCGCCTTGTCCAATCTCTTCCAGCGCTCTGGCCCCAGTGTCACTGGCCCGCCATTTCCTGGCCAGCCAAACCCAGCCGTCTCAGACCCTCAACGTCGTAGACTATCTGTCTCGACTCTAGGACTCTCAGGGACTTCACCAAATGTCTCTAATGGTCTCAACATTCGCCGGGGAAGCATGTCGACCAATTCAAACAACTCGGACTCAATCGACGAGAGCGCTATTGAGGACGATGATTTCGGACCGAAAACGGCGCCAACCACGCCGTTCACAAGGCGTATGAGTTTTGGTAACTCCTCAATGAGGGGCTATCGCCCTGGTGGGAGCCCAGGTCATGGTAATACCAGCCCAAGTTCTCCCCCACCTCTATCTGGTCGCAGATTCAGCAGACCTGCGGCTCAGACCAAACATTCTGCCCTCTCTGCAGCACTCGCAGGTCGCCGAGCAAGCGTCGAAGTGTCTGCCTCTTCCCCTTCGCAAGCAAGCCATGCCCAGCATATAAGATTTACTTCTGACACTGTCCCTCGCTTAGACCAGCAAGGCTTCAATTGGCCTGAGCAACTTAGGTCCCGAGCGGAGAGCCATGTAGCCGGAGGTCAGCGACCTTCATTTTCTCTGGCAACTTCGCCACCTCAACATGCAAGCTTCCACCACGACCGCGCCAAGTCTGTCTCCGACATGCCACCACCCCCGAACAATGCACCTGCCCCTAAGCCTGTGCAGGAGAGACCCAAGCCGGATGCTTTCCAGGAACGCATCCTCAAGGGTGATTTCTACATGGATTGAGATCAAACTTAATCCAGAAGCAAATTTGAGCTCAGCTACGATATGGTCAATATTTAGTCTGACATTTAAATAAGCCAAGAAGAGTGCGAGGGTAAAATCCCTGTGAGGATCGCCCTCTGATGAAATTATATCCCTAGCTATGGGGATGGGAACAATCTATAGTAGCATTTGGAATGAACCAAGAAGGAACTAAGGATGTTGAGATTCAACTTATGCTTTGTTATTTTTGGGGGAGGAGCGATAAACGCAAATGGGAGTTTGATACAACGGCGATGGGACTCGAATGCTGAATTTATAGCGGCGACATGGAACATGGACTTGCTTATTTCCAAGATGACGGGATTGCGCAGGCGCTGGCATTTGTTTATCAAGCAGACTGAAAGAGCACTGGCAGGGTTAAGGGCACATCATATTTTGTAGGTCAATCGGGAGTTATATATGGATTTCTTTGCCAAAGAGCACAAAGCCGGGTGGCACATTAAGAGAATACGAAATGCCGTTCCTATGACATGAATGGATGAGGGAAGCCAACTTAGCTTCCTTTACAGAAGAGCCAAGCCCAAAATCAGGCAAAATGTGAACATTAGTCTCACAGGACTCAAAGAATTCCGTGTTGTGTGCGGTTGAACGCAAGACATCTTGAGATCCTTCGACCTGCCTCCCGCCATCCACATGAGTATATGAGCAGGCAAAGGCAGCGCGTCCCGCATGACATATCGAAGCGTCCGGCGAGATGGATTTGTTTCAATAACGCAGACAGTTAGGATGCTAGATCCCCTGATGTTTTGGATCCTCGCTGGAAACACCTGGGTGGAATGAAATATGCTTCAACCTGAGGCGTGGTTCAATCCCTCCATAAAAGGGATCTAGGTTGCCATCTGATGGCATGACAAGGACACAGCTCTGCAACCATATCCGTCCTCTCAAAGCCTAGTAAGCGCGGGACATGGGCGGCACAAATAAAACGCTACCAATTAAGATGCGTGACATCTGCTAAAACATTAAATGCGTACGCGATCTCATAGCGAAGCTCAGTGCAGCGAGTCGCATATCTTGGCCATATGTGCAATTGAAAAGTTTCTCGAGTTGATCCCGGTTCACCTTCTCGTTTGTTCTTGATGGTTTAGCTAGGCACTTGCTCACGATGCCAAATATTAATGTCGAAATTGCAACTCTCCAAGTCTCGGATATTTTAATAACATTTCCAACTCCTTTACCAAACCGTCCAGTTTCCTGGATTAAGAGCATAGAAACAAAAATCTGAAGAATCAAACATTCCGGTCCCGCCAAAATCAAGACCCCAGTCTCACCACCGGTCCATCGGAAGTCCTAGCTCTGAGTCGTATCTCTCGAACGTGCCAGGGAACCTTTGTTTGGAGCCCATGGTCCTTTTCTTGGTGAGAAGCGTTCCGTCCGGCATCTGCCTGGAACCCTGCCAATAGACAGGATACCCGCAGATGATGCATATCTGTTGAAGATGGGGCAGAGCTTCTCCTAAGCTCCGGATACAGTCACCGTACCATTCGTTGTACCAGTCTTTCTTTTTCAGTAGAACCGGCTGACTGTCACTGCGAACTTTTAAAGATGCGTTCCTCCATATATTGATCGCCAGGCGCTTCAGTTTTGGTAGCTGGCTCAATTCCTGGGCAGCTTCGCACAGAGTGTCTCTCTGATTAAGGTATGGGACGGTTAGCATCGCATCAACGTATGCTGTACCATGGAGCAACTGTACTAACGAAAAGTGCATCCAACCCTCCGTCTGCAATCGCAGAAGAATGAAAGGGGCTATTATTCTTCTCGGAGTCACGTAGAATAAGTTCTTCAAGGCCACTGTTGAGTCTTGCAATACGACGGATGTTCTCAGCTCGGAGGGATGGGATCCAGATACTGGAACAACCATCCGGCTCAACATATAGAGTCACAGCCAGGCGCTTGACTGATGGTGGAATCCTGCGAAGCTGCCCCAGTTCAACAGCGTGGCAGATATCTAGTGTTGTGAGCGCAGGACATGTTCGGAGGAATCTTTCTGTAACGCGCATCGAGGAGCGGATTCGCAGGTATTGGATTTCGGTAGCTCCCGCAACCAGCATTCTGTGGTACAGTTCAAATTCTTGTGAAAGGTTCAGGAAGCTTAGGTATAGGCTCAACGATCGTAGGTTAGGCATAGCCTGGAGAGTTTCGGAAATCCGCAGGGACAGGCCCCCAGCTACATTATTAGGGGAGGAGTCGGTATAAAGATCCGCCCATGTCCCGCGCTTACTAGGCTTTGAGAAGACGGATATGGTTGCAGAGCTGTGTCCTTGATCAGTTACAGAAAAGGTTTGTGGGACTCGTTCGGGAATCTACCTGACTGTGCTGTATATCCTAGGTCTAACGGGAGTTTGGTGCCCCAAGAAGTTGGTAAGTTGCGCCCTTAGTGAGTATTGTTGACCTGAGAACCAGACTTTCTTATGAATGAGCGGGAGGACCTTGAATCGCATGTGAGAAGAGGTAGACGCTAGAGCCACAATGCTCCAGTGATCGCAGAGCGAGGCGATCATCCAGATGGTCTCGGTCGGAAGTTTTTCGAAATACGAAACAGGATTTTCTGTTCTGCCATTGCTTTCCATGCCGATATAGAGTACCTAGCCGAGATGAGGCGCGGGGGTTAGGCTCATTTGTTGATCACTGAGGTGGAAAGAGGGGATGTTGAAAGTGTAAGTTGATCTGAAAATTTGTTTGTTTGTTAAAGAATGTGTAGCAAACTAGAGAGTTACGTGCGTTGTGCCCTCTATTCATAAAGTCACATAATAGCCATAACCCTAGCACACAATGGTTCCATTGTTTCGAACAATAAGCCCAAACAACCTGGAAAAGGTCAATAACAGATGTCAACAAGTTATGAAAGACCCCTAGTAAATCCAAACTATCCCAGATCGACCAAAGTTTTACAGCACTTTGTTCTTAAGCCTCGCCATATTGCAGAAGGAAGATTAAGCTCTGATGAAAACGCGACGATCTTAACAATAACTGAATTGTATTTGAGAAGTCCTAAGAAAAACAAAATGAGTCCGCTCGCCAGTGTAAACGCCAACAATGCCACCCCAAGTCTATGTGTCATAATTTCATGCTAAGTATCCAATTGCTGTGAGAACTTAAACTCCTCTTTCGCTTCGACGTTGGCAATAGCGCTCTGGAGCGCGCTCGTCAAATCCACATGGAACAGAGGTTTGTTCACGCTGTGGATGGCCAAACCTCCTCCCACCCCTCGATCCCGCCTTGAAGAAGCTGCCCCAGTCTTCTCCATGCCAATGTCATCCTCTCTCTCCGCAAGTGGCCCAAGTCCTTCTATGCTTGAGACTTCCTCCTCATCTCTAAGTGCGAACGAGCTCATGCGAGACTCTCTATTCTTTAGGTCCTCTTCTGCAGCAGCTGCCGCTGAATTTCGTCCGCCAATATCAGCAATGCTAAAGATTGACTTCCATCTATGATGCGTTTCTTCGTTGTGATTGGACGGTACCCCGAACCCAGCTGCGTCCAAAGCTCGCTTCGTCCATCTGTTGTTGATGCAGGCGATGTGCCAATCCACCACGTCAGGGGTGGAATAGGCATCCAACTGATTTCTCACGTCTATCAGTCTTTGCACGGACGTGATATCGACATTATTGACGGAACTGAAATCAAGAATAATGGCTTTGAGGCAGGGTAGCCGGTCATGTAAGGGATTCGCGAGCGACTTGGCAGATCGTCTTGGCCCGGGATCGTTCCAGGGCCTGTCTCCCGGCCGCTCAAAGAACACTGGGCTGGTCTGCTTTGTATTGTCATAGATGAACTCTGTCAAGTAATCGAGTGATGCGTTCGCGTTGGTAAAATTGAAGCCGTCAGAAAACCGGTAGATGAAAACCCCTGGATAAGGGGTCTCGATGTTAAGCTCGGGGTTCGAGCCGTCTCCGTGATTAAGTGGCAGGTACACATTCCGGGCCGAGGTTTCGGTTCTATCTTGGTCGAAAGTGCCGTATTGGGCCACTACCTCTCTATGGCTATCGCCGATTATATGGTCTCCCAATACCGAGTGTACCTTAACTCGCCCCAGGAAGTCGCCACGGGCTTGCAGAAGACGGAAAAGAAGGATCGCAATGGACAGTCCGATCGTGGTGTAGAGGCCGTCTTCTATTCCAGCAAAGAAGCTGACCAGCACCCCGACCACGAAGACGAAAAACTCGATAGGCGAAACACGCCAGAACTGAGTGGCGGTAGTGGGCGATGTAACCAAGTCACCCACAGCGTGGATGATCACGGCAGCCAGAGCAGCGCTGGGGATAAAAAAGAATATTTCTGTTAGGAAGTAGGTCGCCAGTAAGACGATGCCACCAGTAAAGAGTCCTGCTGCCGGCGTGCGAACTCCGGCTTTGGAATTGATCGCGGTACGGCTAAATGAGCCTGTAGAAGAGTATCCGCCAAACACGGGGCCAAGCACGTTTGTGATCCCAATAGCGACCATTTCCTGAGAAGGGTCGATGGTGTAGTTATTTACCCTCCCAAAGCTTTTCGCGATGGCCATGTGTTCGACCACCATCACGATGACAGTTGCGGGGATAAGAGAAGAAAAGCGATGAACAAGGTTAAAATCTACCTGAGGCACTCCAATGTGTCGAAAGCCTAGTCCCTAGTCAGAATAAAACCGAGTAAGTCTGCTGGTTGATAACTTACCTTGAGGGATGTGACCCAGGATATCAAAAAGGGGATCCTTTGGTCTATCTGCGTTGATCAGATAACTCGCCGTTGTAAACATCACCAAGACGGCAACTGTCCGCATAGTGCTGAGAAAGAAAATGAACCGCTTGTGTCTAGGAAAGCGTTCAGCCGCCTTGGCCAGCGAGTGTCGGATCGAATACAATATGACGAGGGCAGTGATGCCCAAGACAGCATCCGTCTTCGCTTCTGCAAGATGCTTCACGGTATTTAGGATGACCTGGTATGGCGGGTCTCGGTTTGAGAAACCTTTAACTCCCAAAAGTGCGGGGAGTTGGCTGGCGGCAATAGTTACCGCAGATCCAGTCATGAAAGCAGACAAGGAGGTGAGGGGTATAATGTCGACGATCCAGCCCCAACGAAGCAGGCCGATAGCGAGAACAATGCTACCAGAAACTACTGATAGAGTGAAGGCGATAGTTTGAGGTGGAGTATCAAGTCCCGAAGTGCGAACTGCCTCGATCACGTTACCGACAACTGTGGAAAGAACCGCAACGGGCCCGATGGAGATATCTTTGGAGGTACCGAATATCCAGTACAGCATTACCCCCACGAAGGAGGAGTATAGGCCGTACTCGGGCGGTAGCTTTGCCAAAAGGGCGTAGGCCATGCCTTGGGGAACCACGACAGCACCAATGGTGACGCCAGCGACCAGGTCTGACGCCAACCACTGTATGTTGTTATAATGGCTAACCCATGAGACGAAAGGAAACAATGAGATAGTGTAACTTGTAGCTTCTCCCGCAGATGGTAGCTGTTCTCGAAGCCATTCGACAGATGTGGGGAGCCCCTCGATGTACATGTCTGGGCTGGAGGCCAGTTGTGATACTGTATCACCCGCAACTCTGTCCTCGGGTCCCGGAGGACCAGGTTTGGGAAGGGACATGTTGAGTACGACACGGTCGACTCCGCGTTGTGGCACGGTTATGGTTGGCTGTCAGCCCCTGAGCACCAACACAGTTGAATCCAACATGAAGATGCCACAGATGTGGGCACAGGTAGACTACGCTTGGGGAGCAGGGAGGGTTTATCATGTTCGAGAGGAGAGCCAGGACATTACGGCGGGGGAAAGCAGGCGCTATAACCGGGTTCTAACATGACACAAATTGCAGGATCCATGGTCTGGGAGGCTTGCGTCGCCTCGTGTGTCGTTTCGAGAGGCATGATGACTATAGTTGATCACCCACCGTTTGGCGTCAAACTGTGGGACAATCACGCAATTTGGGCGTCCACACTTCCTGTCGTGTGATGACCAAGCTGAAATGGGGGCGCCGTCTATGAATGGAGGGAGCACTGGGCCACGAAAACATAATCGGTAAGATTGATAATGATCTTCTTCGGGCAACTACGATCTGGAAAGCCATTTGCTGAAGCAGATCTAGTAGATCATCCCATTTGAGAATGTGCATGACAAACGAGTAGCAGTGCATGAGTGCATGGAGCCGCCCTACCCTAAAGGGCCATCGATATCGAGCAGGTACACTGACGTACCATCTCCTAACCCCCACGTACGATCCCTACCTCGGAAGTGGGGAGGTGATAGTTGTTGTCTCTGCGTGTATTCCATGCACATATTATTAAGTTGCGGTTAGTAAGACTTTCTTATTGATTTTGATTTTGTTGTTGGTGTCATGGAAGTGATTCTGCAGTCGATTAAGATGGGGTGCCTATTCAGAGTCACCAACCCGTTGAACCTACCCCATACCACCAAGGGCACCACGCTAAGAGGCCCAGCTTCTATCAATGGCAAGTACTGGTGATGTTAGTGCTCATAGCAGGTACCCGTGGAGCGCTACTGGGCTGCTGGCCACCCGATTCCTTGCTGCACGGGTGCCCAGTCTCAGTGTGCTCCATCAATGACTTCCCAGCCTCTCCAGGCCTGATCTTGACATGGATGCCAGCCACTGCATTCTGAAGCTCACCCGGGCTCGTCGATTCAACAAACCCGATTGCAGCGTTTCGACGACAGCCCAACCCGAGTTTCAAACCCTTCGCCAACAACCTCTTCATTAGACCAGATCGCCAAAGATTGACAATGCCCAGCCCTGTCCGGGAGCCGATCCCGCAATTGCATCCTCCACAGCTTCCTCAACTTCAACCCCCACCATCACCGCGCACACATCGAGCCCTGCGACGGCTGCAGTCTGCACATACCCTGGGCGCCGCAAACAGAGGCAGCATCTTCTCGGCGTCACTGATATCGCAGCAGCGCCAGGACCAACAGCAGCGCAATGCCTCGCCTACGCGCGCGTCCAACTTTGTCCACCGCGCCAGAGCCAACAGTGATGCGACGTCGCCCATGGTCCATCAGATGAACGCTGTGACGGCAGCCAAGCGCGCCGGAGTTAACAAACCCGTGTTCTCGCATGGCCACCTGTCGCTGCAGCAGATAATGCGCGATGGTCCGAACGATGGAGACTATGTCGGCGCGTTGGAGAGTGCCAGGTGGAAAGTCATTGACGAGGGCGTCAAGAGCGCCGAGGATGGAATGGTGGGAATTTGCCTTCCTACGCACCTACCAACCCGCCAGGTTGCAGTTCACTAACCAATATGTTCGATAGTCAACCGTGAGAATATATGTCTGGCTCATCCTTCTGGATGCCCCGATCATGTCAACGGACGACTATCTTGCACTCGTTCACCGGGGAGCCTCGCCAGCATATTCGAAAATAAGGAATGACACCTTCCGAACACTCACAACTGATCCGCTCTTCCGACGACGCGTCAGCGAAGCAAGTCTCATCCGTCTTCTTAATGCGATTGCATGGAAGTTATCTGATGCCAAGGAGGAGGAGATGCAATCGAGACCAAATAGCCGTGGAAGAACTTCCATGGGCAGACTCAGTCTTGCTAGCAATGCATCTGAGAGCTCGCAAGGCAGTACGTTTGAATTCTAGTTTCATCCTTAAACCAAGAAACCCCCTTCCCCGCAACGATCACCTCAGCTCCAAGCCTGAAGCTCACAAAACATTGCAGAATCAAGTGCCGAGGCGGGAACCTACGTCCAAGGCATGAATGTCCTTGCCGCCCCCTTTTTGTACGCGGCTCGCAGTGAGGCAGAGGCGTTTGTTGCTTTTCACTCTCTTCTCACACGCGAGTGTCCGGGTTATATTCGAGGAGCAATGGACGGAGTTCACCGAGGTCTTGCCTTGGTCGACAAGGTATTAGCCATTGTCGACCCCAAACTGGCCATGTACCTCACTGCCAAAGGACTCGCCGCAGAGATATACGCCTTCCCCTCTGTTCTGACGCTTTGTGCTTGCACACCGCCACTGCCCGAGGTCCTACGGCTCTGGGACTTCCTATTCGCCTATGGCCCACACTTGAATATTGTTTGCATTGTCGCCCAATTGACAATTATGAGGGCGCAAATTTTGCAGTCACCGAGGTGAGTTCAGCAACCTCTAAAGGGCAAGCACGCTTGGAACGAATGCTGACCTAAAATGTGTAGCCCGAACAAGGTCCTGCGGTCTTTCCCTTCACTGAACGCAGAGCTTGTGAAAAATGTGACAATTGGGATCATAAAGAAGATCCCGGATGACGTATACTCGGAGATTGTTTCACACGCGCTATGATTATGAAGATATGAAATGAGAAAAAAAGGACAAAAAGAACATCATCGTCTGGACGAAAAACGAGCATCACACTTGACAGCGCCCCGGGCATGGTATGCGACCGGAAACACAAACAGCATATTTGTTTTTAAGTACACGCAACAAAATGGCAGGCATGGCGGTCGAACATATCGGCTTAATTCATCATCGCTTTGTGCGATGGTCTCTTGGCCATGCATGGTCGGCCTGTCTAGCTGCCAACTTTGATCGCAGTAGGTGATTGGAGTCTGCGTACGCACGCCTGTTCTGCTTTATTTTGGAATTTCACAGGAGTTTTTACACTCACGTCTGGCCGTTCACCGACTGGATGGTGTTTGGTCAAGACGGCTCATTGCTTTTTAAGGAGTTACACATGGCTTTAAAGCCTGGCATTAACGAGGGTAACACTAGAACTGTGCATCGCAGGGTAATGATATTTTGCATCTATTTATGACTTTGATTTTCACGTTTATCGGATTTTATCATATTCATGTTCGTGATTCGCACGGAGGATCATCTGATATGTTTCTCATCACACTCTTTAACCTGCACGAGTACCATCAGGACCCGGTCTAGGGACATTAGAAGACATGCATGACATAGCTCGCAGAAGTGGTCTTAAAAACGAGGTAAACGAATGCATTGAATGTCCATTCCATATATATCTCTATATGTCGGAAACTAATGTAAGGTCCTCAAATCCTGGAAATGCCACAAATATGTGCTCACCCCCCTCCTCTTTAATCCCGAAGCCAAAAACGCCGCCGATGATACGTGATGCTGAATGCTAGCCAGATGAACTGTTTGAAGCAAAGTTATATATCCTCATCTATCCGTCTCGAATCACTCTGAAAAAACAGGCTTGGGAAAGACCACATGATCCCAATCTAGTCTAATCAAATGTAGTGCTAAAAGCGAACAAATCTCTTGACAGTCTGGGAAGCAGACCCAAACCGAAAAGAGATGAGAAAAGTCCAGTGACGTATGATGAATATAAGGTCAAGGACTAGAATAGAATAAAAGAGAAAGAATATAATGAAAATGTAAAAGAAGGGAGAAGAAATGTAAGGAGCAGATCTGAAAATGGGCAATCAAACGATCTTAACGATCATTCCATCAAACATTTTCAGCTACTATCGTTGATTATGAAAGCTGGTTGGAGCTTCGATTCCAGACGGAAGAGCAGGTGTCTAGTATGCAGGGCATCCTCCTTCCGCACGGATGAAAGCATTGGTGAAGAATTGCTGCATGGCGGTGTAGTGGAAGAGAATGCCACCGAGAACGGCCGCGTGCCAGAGGTTGTGGCTGCCACCGACATAGTCGAACACGCCAGGCCACCACCTCTCAGGGATCTTGCTGGCGTAGACAACCGCACCTCCAAAGTAAACGAGGATTGACTTGAAAATGGGAGAGTAGAAGCTGTAGACGAAATCAACCCCATGTGTCCAGGAGAGCTGCACGATAGGCATGAAGCCCGTCAGAGCCAGGCCGACGAAGAATGCAACCCGAAGCCAGGACTGGTCTGGCCTGTTGAATCTGGGGTGCCATGGTAGGATGACACCACCAATACCAAGGAATGCAGACAGACCCATGTACAGCCAACGGCTCAAGGGGTCGCAGTAGAAGGCTGTGTATTCGCTGGTCATGATCGATGCTGCGATCAGCAATGAGATGCCTGTGTAATCCACGCAGGCGAAAATCGAGATGGCATTGACATCAGCCACGGCGTTCATGGTATGCCAGATGGTGGAGCACACCAATGTCACACAGGCCATGATGAAGAAGATGGCGGCAACAAGCACATCCGTCTTGCTACTCAGGGAGAAATTCGCGCTGGTAGGGTAGAAGTAAAAGGCCACGGCGAGGACCAGAACAAGGCCAAGCGCATGCGACCAAATATTGATGAACTCGTTGGAGAGATTGAATGCCGATCGTACGCATCCTAGCTTTGTCTCCGAGAAACGATATCCCTTCAAGATGTGGGGGTTATTTCTCCATGGTGCAGGGAGTTCTTCGTAAAGCAGAAGACCTCTGTCCTTGGCCTGGAGAATAGCCTGCTCGATGTGTTCCTCCAGAGAGAGGGCAGCCCGCTTGGCTCTCTCGATACCCCCATCAACAACCCCTCGTGCCCTTTCGTAGCTTTCATTGGCAACCCTTCTACCCTCACCGACGAACACTCCGGCCGCACTGGCAGCGTTTGCTAGACCACGCTCCCGAAGTTTGTGGGCACGATTTTCGAAATCCGTGAGCATCTCGTCCAACAGCTCCACACCAAGGTGTGCCTTTTCGTTCAGCGACTCGGCAGCCTCCAATGTTTCATGATATCTCGTCTCGAGCGTCTCAACCATGACATGGAGGCGGCGCCTTCCCTCGCCTAGGACTTCCTCAGATGCTTGGGAGCATCTTGAACGGACGGCCTGCAGCGTAGAGAATGCTCGAGAGATGCTGGCATCCATGCTCAGGTCGGTGTAGTTTTCGATGTAATCGAGTCGACGCTCGAGCTCGGAAAGGAAGAGGTCGACCCTCAGCAACAGGCCTTCTTCGCCGTCCATGATGTGCCCGACGATGGACCGACGCCTCGGTGGTATGAAGAACGAATGGCGTCGCCGTTGTCTCGGCTTCTGCCCTAAGTTTGGATCCGCGGCGGAGGATTGGCCTGGGTTGCTATCGTCCATACTGGATTTTTGGGCATGGCGATTGCAGGCCGACGTAAAGGCCGTCGTCACGTCGTTCATGATTGCTGCGATGCCCTCTCAGGGTGTATCATGCCCTGAATCGATCCGACTTGTGTTTGGAATTGATGTTGTGGCGAGAGAGACCCAGCCGTTGGCGCAGCTGGTTGCACGGGCGGGGATGGAGGGGATTAATTGGTTGAATCAGCCGATCAGCTTACGCGGGCCCTGGAATCTGGTTGGTATGCTGTTGTGCAGCGGCCTCTGCAGCAAGGGGCGAACTGATAAGCGAAGAAAGTTAAAGGAGGAAGTAGACGGGAGGTTTCGCTCGGTTCACATCTCCTGTCAGTTGGTGTGGGGTGCGAGTAGGTGACGAATCTGATTCATATGGACGGACAATCCGATGCTAGTGTTCAGTGGCTGTCGTAGTGACGGGGATTGGCGGGTAATAGCTCAATGGTGAGCGATTTGGGCATGAGACTGACAGTTGCTTGACTTTGGGATTCAGGAGCAAATTGACGGGGGCCGCACAGAGCGTCTTGGCGCAGCGCGGCTTATGACCACGACTGGAAATCCATGTAGGTCCCTGTCCAATCGTTATTAGGGGACGCCGTGCCGGGCGGGTCAGCGGGGGTCATTGATGTGATGGCAGCGTCTCTCTGGTCTAGGGTAGTCTGGGTCAGATCTTATCTCACTTGGTGAGCCTCCACTGCGCTAGTCTGCTTAGGCCTTAGGCTAGAGTCTGGGTTGGGAAATCAACTTAGCTCATCATCGTTGTGTTTTCGAGCCATTGACAACCTCACCGGCTTGAATTGGATAGTCTCAGCAACGCGCAACGCACAACAAGCACGCGATCGACCGGTGCTCTCTGGACAGTCAGCAAGTGATATCGTTTGCGAGGATTCAGTCAGTCAGTTACAATGGCCATCGACAAGTTGGTCACGGAGCCAAAGCTCCTCTCCGCGCTGGAGATCTCGGACGAAACACGCGACCAAGCCAACACACTCATCGACCTCATCGAGAATTATGCCGATGAGCCGATGACCGCCGCCCAGAAGACCGAAATGGCCAAGCACCAGACACTGATATTCACAAACATTGCGCATCTGCGTGGGTTGCATCGCTACGCATGCATTTCAGCCCGCGAGACTAAGGCTACGACTGCCGAGGCAAGACAAGAGGTTGACCGGCTACATCTACAACTGCAAAATCTCTATTACGAGCAGCGCCACCTCCAGAATGAGCTGTCTAGCTGCGAAAGTTTCGAGTGAGTGGCTACGTCGAGCCCCAGAGTTGACAAGGTCAAATGTGATGCTAACTTTATGGCAGCCACAAATATCAGCAACTCCCTCTGATTCCCGTTGAAAACTTCCTTGAGAGGTTCCCTGAGCACAAGGACGACGATGAAAACACGTTGATGTTCGCCAGAATCGACCACGAGAGAACCGAGCGTGAGGCCCTGGAGCAGCAGCGCCAGGAGCTCTTGAAACGGAAGCAGAAGCTTATTGCGGACAACAAGCGAAGAAAGGAGGACCTGGCAAACCTGGATAATGAACTAGAGAAGTTCATTGACGTTTGTTACGCCCACCCCAGAGAGCCCCCGGAACAAAGTGCTGACAATGCCCACAGGCTGTAAAACCAATTCAGAAGCTCTTCGAGAAAGAAGCGTGAGACTATTTTTGTTACATCACATGAAGCAGAATTTGGCAGGACGCCCTCATACAGTTTCGACTGGATTGAAAGCTGCCCAAGGACAAGCATGGCATTGTTTTCAAGTTGGGGTTTAGGATTGATACAACCCCGCTTGCTCGAGACAAAGGACCTTTGGGAGCTCAGGATGGCGGGGTCCTGGGTCATATCGGCGTTTGGATGGTTGGATTTGCGTGCATGGCATTGGGACGGCGTTACTATTGTTATATCAAAAAGATACCCACCCCGGATTGAAACTTAGCCACGTAGTGGTATTGGGGGGAAGGATTTTCAGCCTTGTTTCCCCTCGCCTGAGTTGATGTTGTCCCCTCCAGGTTTCAGATGTAATCTTTTTTTGGATCAGGTTTCTCTGCTTCGCCACGAAGCATGCGCAGTCGACATGCACATGAGGGGCAAGGGCCTTGAAGAGAGTTGCCAAGCTGTTGCCAACGAGAAAAGACCACATAGTGTAGCAGCCAGGGTTGTTCCCTCCAAAGAGCGCAAAGGAACTGCGCTGTGGGTATTTATTCCATGCCACGACCTCGGCTGTGCCAACAGAGCGCGCCAATTATGCGCATGAGAGGCCCATCGCCAGGGAGTCACATTCTTCGCATGTACATACTACTCACAGGGTGGTGCTAAATCCCTCCCGTTTAAAACTTTCATAGAGCCAATAAGTGCAAATTCTTACTGGGGGCTTTACATGTGGGCGAGGCGAATCTCAGCTTACTGCCTAGCAAGGTAGCAGCAGGTAAAGGATGGATGGCATCCTCTCCCGACCCACTCTGCCGTCCGCCACTTGTTCTGTCGACTGGTTCTAGGCCTCTGCAGCTGGATAGGTACGCGGCGTTGAGCGCACAATGGCCGTGGTGATGACTAAGGACTGTGTAGGGCCGTAGTATTATTGCCTATTGTGCATGTGCCGTCGAAGCGAAATTCATCCATGGCAGCGGCCTAGGCCTAGCTCCAACCCGGGTCTGGGCATCTCGGTTGATGGGTTGGTAATAACGGGAGGGCTCTCGACAGGGCAGATCCGAACGAGAGCCGAGCATGCGTTCGTCCCTGGGTGCAACCTTGCCGGGAGCCTGACGGCCAGCATTTAATCTTATTGGGATACACCGCCAAGACGGTCGTCTGCGTGCGTGCGAAAATCACTGTGTGAGACAGCCGTTGGGTAGGGCTCTTGAGATGGTGATGAACGGTGTCTTTGCCATTGACAAACACCGCCCAGACGGGTAAGCACCCTGCCATGGCACTGCATTGTTTGGACCTGCGAGAACGGGGCCTTCCTCTCATTTCCCAGGGCGGGTCCGCGCAGGCCAATGGGCAATGGTCTTGTCAGCACAACAAAATTGCATGCGCAGGGGCCCGAAGCACGCAGCAAGGCCACTCCACAGATACGATGCTAGCCTGGTGCCGACATGGCTAGCCGATTCCCCAAACCACCGCCCCGAGGGCTGGCGATGGGCTTGATTACCAATGGCGCTGTGTCTGGAGTGTTGATTGAAACGGCCTGTGATACAGGTGGCGGAGGTGGGAGGGATGGGTGGGTGGATTGGCGGATTGGGGGGATGAGACTGTGAAGGAAGCCAGCTGATGCGCAGGCGTGATATGATGTGCGCAGCTAGATCCTGCCGCTATTCACGTTGATAGGGACCGGGGACGGTATGGAGAGTTAAATGCAGACCCGGTTCTGGAGAGACGGTCAGATGATGGTGAGCCCGTTGCCGTTTCCATGGTAGTGGGCTATTATACCGCCGATGGGGTTGAGATCAGAGAGGCTGCTTTTTTCGGCACATAATGCACACATGCAGTAATATGTGGTTGTACATGGGCGCTGCACGTTGATGGGGCCGAGTCCATGGTTGGTGGGCGTCCGTGGATCACCCAATAATGTAACACTGTCGAATTGGCACCTGGTTTTTCTTTTGCACTCACTCCGCAAGGGTCCAATCGGCCCCAGGTGGGAAAGATGGGAATCTCGACGGGCCAAGTTGGCCATGACATGTTTTTGGAGGCTGCGGTACCCGCGACAGCGCAACCATCTCCATCTTCAGTGAACAGCCCACCGCCCTACCCGCCAAGCTGTTATCTCATTAGAGGGAGCGTAGAGAGTCTGGGGCGACCATCCGGCCGACTCATCATCAGATGGGGCGCAGCCCAAAGATCAAACCTGGGGTCAGCTCAGCTGCAAAACCGTGCCATGTCATCTACTCGAAATGGGGTTGGCTGTCTACATTCGGCTGTAATAATTTGTGTTCTGCGAGCTGCGTGCGTGCCTGGCTTGTGGTCCCCCAATGGCGTTCTTGAGCCAGAGGATATTAGTACATGATTACAGGGAAGAGTCCACCAGGAACCCGAGACATGAGCTGCATATCAGCTGCATCTGGCGGGCAGGAAAAGAGAAGTGACGGACCTGAGGAGCCAGCATGTAGCACTGCAGCGGGCTCCGTTATCGTATCTGCTGGTGCCGACCGGTGGTCGAGAGAACGGTGTAGAGACCCCGGGCTCCGTCTGTCTTGGCCGCCCTTCGCCATTTAGATCGCCAATCGCGTGTCTCCTCCAACCAAATCGACGTGGTAGGCACACGCCTGCGGCTGGATGGATGCTGTGGCTCCCCTAGTCAGCTTGCAGGTCTAGAGCTATGACGATGAGACGCAGTGCTAGTCAGTCAAGGAACGAAAGATGCCGAGAGCTGGTGAGAATTTGCCAAGGCGGTGCCAGTTGGTGGCCAAGCGAGAGGCCGCCAGAGCATTGCCTCTGCTACAGGGCGTTGGGAGATTTCAGGAGTTTTCTGTCTGCGACAGGGCCAACGGGGCTGAGGGAGTTCCCTTGCAGATCTCCAATGTGGGCATAATCATCCTGGCTTGGTGGAGAGAACAAGGGAGGCGGGTTCGGGGAGTTCTTCCCACTTTCAATGATCTGGCCACAGCATGCTAAATTGATTTGATCGCGGTTTGCGTATACAAGGGGCCCAGTCTGGGCATTTCTGCACTTTACAGCGCTGCACTCTACCGACTTGATATGTTGGCAGCCGCCCGCGTATGAATTACGCATCAAACAAGGCGCAAGCCATGTAAGGCTTTCTTGAGACAGCCGTCCTGGAATTCCATCATACCCCATACTCCATATCCATACGTGTCAGTAGGTATACGTAACTTCCTTACGTTGAAACACACTGTGCCACATTCGAGATATGCAACGCCCAACTCTGATTCACCACCTGGCGCTCACGCTGGGGGCGCTATCGTGGCAGGACAGGCCAAATGCCCTTTCGAGAGCATTGATGCCATCGTTGGTCAGCCAATCTGTGGGCTGGGAGAGAGAGTCATGCAAGTCAGCCAGGCTGTTGGTAGTAGTATAAGCCGTGCTCGGGCACGTTCTAGCACCTGGGAAGCCTTCCATCGCCAGCTTGGGTCCCCTTGAGGACCGTGGAGGCCATGGGTGTTGGGTGTACCGTAGCCGTAGCCGTTGCACACCATGCTGACACCGAGATCCACACAGGCCTCCGTCCAAATTTTGCAGCAGCAAATGGGGAAACACAAGTCCCTGAGGTGTAAATTTGGTCAGCTCGCAGGCCGCAATTTTTTCTCATCTGCCAGTGGAAGCTCTCTTATTTTAGGTTGCGGGTACTTACATGTCAGCGGCAGGTCCGTACACGGTACAACATTGCGACCAACAAGCCACGGTCCTGGTTGGCCGGACTCTGAAAGTTACATCGACTTCCGCGGTCTTGATGGGAGTGGCGGCTGCCCGGGTTCTTGGTACGTCGATGGACTACGATGGACTACGATGAACTACAATGGGCTCTCTTAGCCTCTTAGTGGCCGCGAACTACCAGTGGTCGTGACTCGTCTATCTTCTAGCAGGTATGCTTCGGAAGAAGCCAGAATTCTTCTTACCTCAGCTGGTGCCCTGGGTTCGTGGTTGGCGTCGCCGCCGCGAAGTCTAAATCACGGACATGGCGAGCTGAGATGACCAGTCTGCAAGAGTATAATTATGAGCCAGAAGCAGCAGACGGAGCCCCAGCAGCGGCAGTTTGGATGCGAAATCGTGCCATGCCATTAGCCAGCGCCAAGAGCTCGATGAAGCACTTTTCATTCGATTCGATCCTTCTGGTCCATTTAGTCTGCGATCCCGCTATTATTATTGCCTCGAGGCTAGAGCCAGGCAGTAATCTCTCCTATTTGGGGCATAGGCGTGTGCAAATTTGCTGCTGCGCCGTGTGTACCTTAGCTCCCCCCCTGCAGGGCAGTACAGGCCTTGTAACTGGGGGGCAGAACTGGTGCTTTAGTCCCAAGTAACCTGGGAACCTCAATCTCGTTGGCGCCCCAGCCAAATCACGCCGGGCTACTAGAGCTTGCTTGTCTCATATTTCGGCCTCCTTTCGCGTCCCATTCATTTTCCTCGTCCTTCTCCTTTAACCCTCCACCCCCTCCCTCTCTCCGCTAGACTTCCGCTCTCCCATTCCCAATCCTCAACCTCGCCTGAACCTCGTCTTTCCTTAAAGGGTTTCAGTTCTATCGTCTCTGCCTGCGTTGCAGTCGCCCCAGGCTCCCCTCCCTCTTATCTCCCTCCTCTCCCTTCCCACACCCAATCCAACGACCAGCCGACTTTTCCACAGGCCAATTTCGAGGGTCTCGAACCGCTGCGACAATGAGCGTCTTCGGATGGTGTTCGCGACGGGTGGGAGGCTTGAGCATGCTTGCTGTCGTCTTCCTGTCGTACTGGGTGATCTCGAAAGAATCGGTTCGTGAGCGTCACGGTTATAAGTTTGAGCACCCGGATACCCACTCCACCGCCTACTCGTCAACATCGACAACCGGTGCCGGTATCTGGACCTACATTTTCGCCTACTACACACTGTTCCTCCATGCCGCTGTGCTCTGTTTCCCTGTCCGCGCCTTGTACGCCATCGTGGACTTGACCCGGGCCATTACCCGTCCTTCGCCTAGCCGGTCGCTCAAGGACTATAA